CCTTGACCATGCCAGTTCCAGGAAGGGGATTTGGATTGGGTAATAATTTTATTCTATGTAAAAAATAAGTAGAGAAATGTCTTATCACAAGGCTCTTTCCCTGCAGTGCTACTGTGGCTACCAGCCCCAAGTCTACACGAAGATTGAATCGAGCTTCAAGACCAAAATTCCCTAGAGGAAATTTGGTTTTCCCTCTGACATAAGCTACGTTTGATTTGTTTCTTCACCTTCTTTCTTCTGGGCCTTCTTCACAAGTTTTATGGCAGCCTTGAGAGACATTTCATCCATGTAATGCCTGGGGTTCTCTTGTCATCTCTTGGTTTCTATAGTAGCAGGGCCAGACGTGGTGAATTAGAAGTAATCATACACTTATCTTCTCGTCCTTTTAAGGATCTGCCTGCTAGGTATGCTCAAGAGATGGAAGACTGTTCTAACTTGCACTCATTGTCATGATTTCTGATGTAGAACAGAGGCACAGTGGATTGGAGGGTATACAACAGGAAGGCAAAAAAAGGGACAGGTTAGGACAGAGAACAGAGCACCAAAGAGTCGCTTCAGGTGCGGTTAGAGAACATAAACGAGGTGCCATCATGAGGTGCTGCTTCTGTGACTGGCTTTCTCAAGACTTTGTGTTCCCACCTGTCCCTTAATGTGCTCCTTATTGCAAGGTTTCACCTTGAAGATTTTGAAAAGGCTGAGCGAGCTTCAGCAAATGGTTGCAAGGCTGGACAGGAGCAGAAATCCTTCGGTTGTGCTGCTGGCTGCGGTTCTCTATGCTGCTAAATGCCCCTCAAGCAGTGGGGGACTGTACACTACTAATGCATGTAAACTCTGAACGCTAAGTAGAAATGAATTGGTCTTTGAGTGTAATTACAAATACCAGTTATCATGACTGTTGTTTTTAATCAATCTGTTTTAATTGCGATACTTTTCATGCTTCTGAGGAAATATGGACACATTTTTATTGCATTTTATCAATCTACCTTGTTCAGTTTGTAGTGCAAGTCCTTTCCAGTGGATTGGCAATAGCCTTTCTTTTACAACAGTTTGATTTAGGAGTGCTGCTACCCATCGTCGTTACATTGGTGGAGAAATGAAATGTTTATGGACTAATCTATACCATCCTCCCAAACCGTAGATTTTGGTAATGGAAAGTTCAGTTTAATGTTCTAATAAACTGCGGGCTGATGCATGCTGTGCCAATTCATCTAGAAGGTTGACGTGAGAGTGAAATCTTACCTTTTCAGCAGCATTTCAGTCTTCATTCTGAAATAAATGTCCACGCCTCGGTAGATGAAGCATTGCATTTTTCATCATAAAACAAATGAGAAATAATAGGTTACTAAGGAGCAATTTTGTTTTTATTACACGTTTTAGCCCTTCCTTCTATCCTTATAGAAGTCAGCCTCCCTACGGTAAAAACAGTGAAGGCGTACCGTGACAGCAAGATACTGATCACATTGTTTGAGAACAGATTAGATTGAAAATCTGCTTAAGTATAATAATTGTTCTGGTAATAATGGCATAAAATAGCTTCAGAGAGGAGCTATGTGAAAAAGCAAAACACTGTGGTGTGGGAGCAGGCTTGTATCACTGGAAGGATGATGTTAATGGACTTCATTCAGAGAGTAGTGTTCTATGTGCCATGGCTTCTTAGTGCCTTGGTACTGAAGTAGAGAAGATGGATGTGAAAGCTAAGTTAGCTCAGTGATGTAAATAGCCAGATTAGCCTGCCAAGAAGAAGATGGATGCATTTGCTGAGCTTCCTCTTATTGGGTTTTCCATCACAGTGTGTGCTTGAGCTAGAAGATGTGTGAAAGACCCAGGTGACATTGTAGAGGAGACAATTGCGTTTATTGCTGTGATGTAAAAGTGTTGGAAATGTCTCCAGATGGATGGCAAGCCTTCAGCTTAAGCTATGAGTTGTCAGTGAGTATATATGCTGGCTCCTGTAGAATTAGAGTTTGTTGATGCTCCACCTCTGGAGGTGTTGAAGACAAGCTTGGATGGGGCCCTGGGCAACTTCGTCTTAGTACCAGGTCTGGAGGTTAGTGGCCCTGCCTGTGGCAGGGGGTTGGAACTTGATGGTTCTTGGGTCCCTTCCAACCCAAACCCCTCCTGTGATACGATTCTGTGAGGGTAATTAATTTACCTTCCATACCTTTGTGCTTTTTGAAGGGCGACATAACTAATTTCTTAGGCTGTAGGTGGGCAGGAGAAGTGTTGAGTGTTTAGCAGATCCTGAGAGGGGGGGGGGGAAAGAGCAAGCCATGCAGAGAGGGTTGTGAGGAGACGTTTTTGAACAGCCCCTGATGCTCAAATGAGCTCGGGCAGTGGATGGAGCATGCTATGTACATCTGTGATGAGTAAATGGTTCCTGACACATCAGGTACACCTGGAAAAACTTCGCTTCCTGCCCAGCTGAACTCAGCAGCTCAAGGTTAGGCAAAACATTAGTGATGTCTTCATCCTTTCAACATTTAATTGCTTTGTGTTGGGCTCCACTGAGGTCTGGGAGACAGCAAAGCATCACAAGTAGCACAAAAACAGCTTCTGTTGTTTTTGTGTTGGTTTTTTTTTTTTTTTCCAGCCAAGGATCTGGTCCCTTGGTCAGCATAGAGCCTGTATGTAGGAGAGAGCTGACGTTAAGCTCAGTGTCCACGTTTCCTCAGTTGTTCTGGTGTTTCTGCTTTGATTTTGTATGGAGTGCACTCCACGCTGCTAGTCACTCTGCCTTGCGGTGCATACTGAGGGCTAGCACTGTGCACCTCGACCTTTCCTTGGGGATCTAGCCCTGCTCCCAAGGAGTTAAACTCAATTGCTTTGAGTAATGGAAAGCATGTTTATTAACAACGTTCTATTTAAAATACAAAGCAAATGCAGTGATAATAAGAGGTGTCGGATGTCTGGGTCTGAGAATTACTTTTTCCATTCAGAGCCTGAGCAGATGCAGGGCAGCCTTCCCTGGCTGTGGGGGTCTCTCTGGGCCCACTCTGAGGGAATGGTGGTCCTGCTTGTGTTGGGCACTGTTTCCTCAGGGAGGGGGAGATACAAGGGAAAAAAGAATAAAAAGCAGAAATAGAGAGTTTTTTTGAGGAGGTTCCCCCCAGGATCAGAACTCTGAGCAATGCAGAGGTTACTAGCATGGGGGCAGTGGGTTTAAACAAGTGAAACTTTAAAATAGTTTGAAGTACTGCAGGTTACTCTGCTCACCTACAGACAAGGCACCTGAACATTTTATTAGAGGTCTTTGTTTATTCATTTCCAAGTTGTGCTTTCAGGTTGGGTACCTTTTGAGATGGGATTTATCAGTGTAATTAAAAACTTCTGAGAGGGAGGTCTGGAGTATTTGTCTCTCAATTAAAACCTTTTTGCCTTAAACCTCTCATTTCTATGCTTTCAAAAGAAAACATTTCTGGTTGATATTGTTTTTGTTGAACGGAAGCTTCTGTTTGAAGCTGTAACTTGGTGAAAGAGGCTAGTATTGAAGAGCTGGTCTTTCTTTATAAGTGATTGAATTGCTAAGATGACTCCCAAAATGTTGTCTTACCGGGATATGATTATTTTTTTTTAACAGATATTTGTCTCTATGTATGTGGGTTTTTAACAATGGGTGGCTTACATCTGCTTATTTCTGCACAGAAGCTGTCTCACTCTGTTGGTACTATGGAATTGCACTTAAGCTTACATGTTAACCAAAGCTGTGATGGAAATATTGGTCTTTGAGGCTGTTTCCAGCCCTGGGCTGGTGATGTGACTGCACGTTGGTGTCGTGTGGTGAAGAAGTGTCAGAATGAGACTGACAGTGCATGTGGAGAAACGTTGTTTTGGTTTTTGTTTGTTTGCTTTCCCAGCAACTGAGATCCGTGGTTTTCTTGGAAAGAGAAACCACACAGAGCATGTATGTGCAATATGGCGAGAAGAATAGGGTGTCTAGCAGTCCTTAGAGAAACATCCTCAAGGCTGAGGCCCTATAAATAACTTGGTTCATGCCTCTTCCTTGCCTTCTTAGGACAAAGTTAAGCAATGACCTTCCATTTACCTTCTATCAAAGCCTTTTTTCCCTGCCATGCGTGAAGCAAGCACCTGTAAGCTACCTCCTGGCATGGGTCTCTGGGCAGGGCATAGCTGTAAGACTTGCTTGGCCCTGTCTGTCAGCGTACAGGAGATTTTTTGGGGGGAAGCCTTGCAAAAGAGGCAGCTGCTGCTCCACTGGCTGTGCTGTGGCTTATTCTCATGCCAGCTGCCCCTGGTGCACCTGTTGGTGCTTGAATGATGGAGCTGTTGTGCGCTGTAACTTAATAAGGCTAAGTCAGATTTTAATAGAACAAACTGACCCTCAGATAGAGGGCTAAGGCAGTTTGACAAATGCTTAAGGAAAGGAGCAAGGAGCTACGATTAAGGGCAGGGATGTGCAGGTGACAGTGGAGCCTTGGGGGCTGGTTACTCCATGGACATGGGGCTGCTCTCCACGTGGCCCAGGGAATGGCAGCCACGATGTTGGTTCCCCCCATGCAGAGCCTTTGTGTGCGTCTCATTCCTGATCGCTTGTTCTAGTTGTCCATGGAACTCTAAATACAGCTGGTTGAGGGGATCCCTTTCCAATTGCACTGTGGGCCTGCTGCTGTAGTACTGGAGAGTCTTTGCCAGGGAGAGTGGCTCCCTGAGGCAGGGTCACCATGGCTGCTGTCGGGTCTGCCTGTGCACTGGGGTAGGTGCTACGCTGGGGGCTGTTCTGATGCCAGCTCCAGGCCGCCTTCTCCCCAAAAGCACGTTGGTGCTGATGTCTGTGCCAGCTTCCTGACTATTCCTCCTCCCAGTCCCCCAGTCAAGCACTTTTCATCCATATTAAGCAGTGACCTCTTGAAGATGTTCAAATATATATATTTTTTTTCAAATAAGACTTTATTTTGTGGAGTACAACATACAGAAATAAATTAAGTGCTTGTTTGAGTAGGTTTGAATAGGTTTAGAGGGGGTAAAAAAGACTGTATAGCCTCGAAGTGACAACAGGGATTTATTGATGCTTTATTTTTCCAAATGTTTACATTCTTTCATGGGAAACAACATGGAAAGAGATGCTTGGGATTTGTGAATGCTGGATGGTAGCAGATTTTCCATCCAACTCTCCTTGGAGAAAGTTCAGTTTTTGGAAGTGACCCAGAGGCAATGCCTGCAGATGCACTGGTAAAAATAATAAAAAAAAGTAGAGGGTTTGGAGGCATATTGTCCAGTCCTTTCAATTTCCATGTTGATGATAACTGCCAGAGCAAGAATTTCACTCAGGCAGATCTCAGGAGCCGTCTGGTCTTTCTGAATTGGGCTTGTTCTAGGGACGAATGGGAGAGTACAATTAGAAATCACCTTTGGCTGAGGAAACACTGCAAAATGACAAATGGAGCTCTTGATTTTGCTTTTGAGATGTCTGTTGAGTTGTATGCGAGTTGGAATTCTCTCCCAACATAGCATAACATAGGTCAAAGGAGCCCACATACCCACGGTATCTTGTTGCATTTTAAAGGGAAGTGTTGAGCTGTTGTGCTGACAAATCAGAAGCATATCAAGGTTGTGGGTTGTGTTGTTTCTCTTATTGCTTTTTTTTTTTCCCCTCTGCTTGTAGAAATACTGCCAAATCCGAGCCTTCTTTTGGCTATTGACTATGACTCTTAGAATACTTTCTAAAGATAATTACTTCATTTCTTTTGGAGACCTGTTCTCAGTCGTTCACAAAAGTAGTCAGGCTGTTCTTTCCACAATAAGCTTTGAATTAGCAGAAGGTGTTGCTTGGATTTGTTTTTCTGATTGTGTCTCAAGGTGTCAACTTGCATAGTGTAGGCTCTCCTCTTGTATGACAACAGAAATCTAGAATGATATTTAAGCTCAAAGTATTTTCATGTTCACAGGTAAACTGAGCCTTTTTTCATGATCTGGCTGTTGGAAAAATCCATGAAATGCCACCCGAGTTTCTGACCAGTTGTAGGGCTGGGAATAAGACCAGGGATCTGCTTTCCTGTGCTGTTTTTTCTCTTGGACAGCAGTTTAATTTTATTGTTGGTGAGACAGTGTCATGCTGATTTCATAACCTATGTCTGGCCATGGGCAAGAAGAAGCCTTTAAGCGTAGCGAAGAGACAAGGTTAAGCATGCAAATGGGAACGTACCGTTTGTTATCTGGGGGTGTCCACTTAGACAGACATGATGTGCTTTACAAATGCTGTGGAAAAATAAAGATGTGATAGTTAGAAGGAGCAGCAAATACATTACTTCAGGAGACACCTTCAAAAGCAAGAGCTGCTGAGGAGCTCATGGTGTTGAAAAGGAACTCTTCTGATCCGGTTTAACTTCGTAACGTGATGGGAAGTTTGAAGTGCTTAGTACTGTTCAAACTAAATTCTCTTCCTGCTTGGATGTGATGAGACTAAATGTCAAATGGAACACTTTGCCCAAGCATTAGCTGAGGGCTAGTTTACTGCCAATTATGGCAGCTTTTCTACAGAATGTCAGTCTAGAGACCCAGGGCTAACAACAGTAGTCTTCTCTGCTGTGGCTGAACCTAGCCTTTCCTGTGATGTGACTGCTGGCTAAGCACATCATTTTAACACATAAACCTTTCAATGTAACTCAGCTATAGCATTGCCCACCCAATTTGCCAGAGAAATTAAGAGCCAACTGCAATGAAACTCAGGGATGAAACGTAGGACGAGAGGGTGTTGAACCCCCTCATGTACACATACCCTCGTAGTTGATGCAGCCGTTGGAGTCTTCCTGACCTTTCATCAGTTCATCTACTTCCTCTTCTGTCATCTTCTCACCTGCAGAATGAAGGCAGCCTGGTCAGTTCTTAAACAGACACGCAGCTCAGGCTGAATCCTGCAGCTTTTCCAAATGTTTGCTTTCTTTTCTGGGGTAATAACAGGAAGATCTGTTGCTGAGCTAAGATTTATTCATTTTAACTTTCTTTGCAAGTTCTGCATGTGCACGCAGACATAGGGTTCCTAGTCATTTATAGAGTCAAGAACTATGCAGCACATCTTCTATCTGTGTGCTTTCGGTCACTAGAGTTTTCAGCCTTTTCTCTCTGTCCCTCAGTGAACCCTTTTAGTACCTAATTTGAGTTTAGAAGTAAAACTCTTGCTTTTGATCTTTCTGTTGCTTTGCATCAGTTTTCCCAGAGCCTCGGGTAGCAGCCTCCTATCTCTATAAGCTAGTTAGGACATTCTTCCTCCCTCTCTCATGCCTTGAAACAGCAGCTATTTTCTGTGTTCACGGATGTGACAACCCCTTACCCAGCGTGGCCAGTACATGGCGGAGTTCAGCCCCCATCACTGTGCCATTGCCTTCCTTGTCAAAAACACGCAGACCTTCAACAAAGTCTTCAAAGGTACCCTGATCCTTGTTGTTAGCAGCTGCTTGCAGCATGGGCAGGAACTCTTCAAAGGTAATTTTCTTGGCGTTCATCTCTAAAAAGAAAGCATCAGTTGCAGTGCTGCTAGGCATTCGAACGTTCACCTGGGATATTCACACTGAAATTTGGGAAAGCCTCCCACCTCACTTGCGTGCCCCTTTTGCCACAGGATTTGGCTGCTCTGCAGCATCTGGATTCTCTTATCGTGGGAGTTTTTGAGTCCATCTGATTTGTCACATCTTTTCTCTACTCCACTTTATATAGTATGTGTGTGTTGTATATATATTTCCTTCAGAAATGAAGTGTGCTACATGAGTTGATCTTCAAAAAGATTTTGGCAATGGGGGAGCTACAGAATACAGTGAAACAGAACTCCTTTCCTACTGCTTAGGGTTTAGGGCAAGAAGAGTGAGATTCTGGGTCTTAAAGCCCCTGGGTTTTTCAACATCGTGTTACTGGACTCATCAGGTTCTCCTAGACGTGACTTGGCACAAGTATAAACAAACTAAAAATAGGATGCCCAGTGGAGGTGGTATCCAAATTTGCTCTTCAACATACTCTTTGTGGAGGCTTAAGGCCCTACAAGCTTAGTGCATCTTGCCCATTTGTTTTCACGAGCCAGAAGCCGAGGTCTTCAGTGAGGCCTTCCCCAGATGGCAAGGCTGCCAGAAGGTTTTTTTTAATTTATTTAAATCCTTTCAAGGAGCAGCTTTCATCTGGGCAAGGATGGAATGTAATAGATGGAAATATAAGAGATTTTCGAGTAGGTAGTTACAGAAACTATTTTACTACCCATCTTTTTCACTAAAGATGTTGTTCAGTTATTGGTACAGTTGCTTAGAGCACCGTCTCAGCTCAGTATTAGTCTTTTGCTTAGCACTTCCCACTGATGCTAATGCTTAACTCAAGACTTATAAACTGTTCTTTAGAGCCTCTCTTTCCAGGCCTGAGGGTTTGGACATTGTTTAGCCTATCCTAATATGTACTGTTGGAATGAAATTGGGGATGTCCTGGAGTCAAGTCCTTGTTAGTAGGAGATTATCACAAAGTTAGCATTTTTTATCTCTACAGAAGAGGAAAGGAAATAGAAAGTGACAGTTAGTAATGTCCAGTAATAAATTGCCATGTGTGCTGTGCATGTCTAGGTTTGTAGCAGTTTTAAAAAGGCCGTTCTGTTCAGCTAAAATAATCAGTCGGGTTTCTACTCTTGGGGTATGTCTCAGCTAATGCAAAAGAGCTGCTGCTAGAAATAGACCCTTGCTGAGCAGTCTGGGTCACAAAGAGGCACAAAATTCCCCATATTGCTTCTGGAGAACCTGCCTTGCTTCCCTATTGGAGCAATCTCCCTCCTACATAAGTACTGATGTTTCCCAATCAGTTCCCCAGCTTGAAAAAGGGCCCAAGAGAGATAGCATGGTTCTTACCCTCTTTGCTGGGGTTGCCCAGGATCTTGTTCATCTCAGCATTTGTGGGGTTCTGTCCCAGTGCCCGAACGATGTCACCGACCTGGCTCAGGGTAATCTTGGCATCACCTGTCTTGTCAAAGAGGAGGAAGGCCTCTTTGAAGTCTGCAAAGGAAGAGCAATGGTTAGATTGAGGCAGGCGGCTACGATTTGACCATTACTGACAAAGCTGTGAGCCTGTTGTCTGCTGGTACTGTTCCAACGACTCCAGGGCAGTTAGCAGGGGAATTTTTGGCCTGCAGTTCCAAGAAAAACTCCTCTGACATTTGGGTTTCACTATTTTTAAACTTTTATAACTACCATTTGTAGCTTTCTTGACTCTAAAAGCCGCCGGCAGTTTTGCAATGGACCTTGTAGTTATTTCAAACACAATGAAATCAGCTTTCTACAGCCCTTACCATTCAAGAACAAGTTTCTTTACTTGACATAGCAGCAGAAGATGACTGAATAATCCACTGTATATCTCATCTGAAAACTGTGACTATTCTGCCACAGTACCTAGCTGCACAAAATATCTGCCTGATTCAGTGGGTTCTGCTTGCCATTTCAGCATCTTAACCACATGCTACTAACAAGGAACTAGAAGGTAGAGTTTAAGTGCTCCTACTTCTGCTCTGCCTTAAAGCTCCCCTACAATGACACTTCCACCTGTGTTCATAATCATAGAGCCATTAAGGTTGGAAAAGACCATTAAGAATATCTAGTTGAACTATCAACCCATCCCCACTGCGCCTGCTCAGCTCCGCATCTCCACATTTCTTGAACCCTCTGCAGAAGGAGACTCCACCACCCTTCTGGGCAGCCTGTTCCAGTGCCTGACCACCCTGAGAAGAAATTTCTCCTTACATCCAACCTGAATCTCCTGGCACAATTTAAGATCTCTGTCCTATCACAAGTTATCTGGGAGAAGAGGCCAGTCCCCCCACCTTGCCACAGCCTCCTTTCAGGCAGTTGCAGAGGGAGAATTGAATCATTAAGAATCATAGAGTAGAACAACAGAATAACTTATTCCCTCCTTTGTCTGCCATTTGCAGTCTGTACCCACTTATTAAAGAAGTGTGAATGTCTAGGCAATGCTTGTGTGGTTCCTTATTATGGTGCATTCCCAATGTGTACAACTTCAAGACTTGGTTTCTTTTAGTGATGCCAGGTTATCAACATTCCTTTATTCTGCCCTTGCTGCTCACCAAGTACTTTGGTGTACTAACATGGCTCTTACAAAAATCAGTGCGGGCAGTTGCCTATCACGTTGTCTATCTGCAAAGCTCCGTGTTAATCATCTTAAAAATTCTTCAAGCTTTTTAGACTACTGTTGCAGTAAACCAAGATATTAAAAAAAAACAAACAAACAAAAAAAAAAAACCCAAAGGCTTAGCTGAAAGGCAGTCTTTGAACCTCGTATGTCTGGAGCACCTTGGTCTGTGCAGCTACCTCTGCTGAACTGCCGTGCCTGACGGTGCTATGTTTTGACTTCAAGTGAGCCAAACGCGTGCCCTTCCCTTGGCTGTGATGGTCTCCCCGCAGCTAGAGAGGACTCCGTCTCACAGTATATGTAGGTGGAATGTCCTTTGTGCCTCAGGGCAAATTTAGGAGTAACAAACCACATCAAGTCATGTCCTTATTCGTCTTGTGCTGGGAACATATGGCGCAGAGGTGCTTAGGCTCTTGCTTTAGCTATCCATAAACCACGCTACTGCAGGAGATTCTGGCATCCAGCAGAACTGCTGATACGGGATGTACAACCTGCTAGGCTGTAATCTAATACATCTGAAACTAATCATCTTACTGTTTGATGTGTGAGACCTATGCCCCTTTACTATTAGCCCTCTCCCCTTACAGCTTTTACTGCAGACTATGAAATCAAGGCCTTCTGGACCTGTGTGGAGCTTCCCCTTAAAATATACCAGCTTCATATCAGCTTCTGCTCTTGCAACTGAGGTTGATAGAGCTGTGCTGATTTATACTGTGCGATCAGATCTTTCATCTGGTGCATTCCTGACATTTAGCCAGAGCAAAGTATAGAGCAATGCCTCTTTGTTATTAGAAAAGCCATCGGGGTTTCCCTACTCTGTAAATCCCATGAAGTTTTATGTTCACTGGGCTCTGAACACAGCTCCCTAGCTCAGAAATTTTTTCTGCCTTAGGTGTGAACATCACTGCCATATCTTCAATTACTTTTTTGTAGGTAGTCCTTGTTTATACCTCTGCTGGAATAAGCAAGTGTAAAAATCCCTCTGTAAGGAGGGCAATAACCAGCTGCTTGCATGGATGGAAATAGCAACTGAGGGTGGGAAATTCTCCTTCTCTCAAGTGGACTTTAATTACTCCTCTGTTTACCTTAGTCACTGCAGCAAGATAGCAGCTGGATGGTCTGAAATACGGAAGGAAGCTGATAAAAGTCTTTTGTCTTGTTAGATGTGTCAGTTTTGAATTGATGACATGTCTCTTTCAACTCCCTACGCTTCTGTAGAAGTTTTAAGATTGCAAAGCAATGAGGAGTCCTGGCCACAAAGGAAAATGTTTTGCGTGTTTGGATGTCATGAAGAAGAATGGTTCCAGCCCTACTTGCTTCAGAGTATCTTTCCCTGTTGGTTTTGATGGTTTAAGATAGAACAGGCTGATATTTGGGAAGCTTAGAGCTCTTTTAACCTCTGCTTCAAGTTGTTCCCTATCCTCTGGATCTCTAGTAAATTCTTGTGTATTCCATTCCAAATAAGTTCTTCACAGTGAGAAGACTACTGCAACTGCCACTGCATTTTTGAGAGGTATTGAAGTCCACATTATTTAATATAATCCAAGTGCCTCTTTAAGGTAGTTAAAACACACATTTAGGTTTCTAGGGCTCAAGTGGGGGTGAATTTCTGACTTGCTTCTCAGCAGTTCACCAAAAGAAATGTAAATAATGCGAGATGCTGGAGAACTGTAGTGCACTGACTAATTACATTTTGTGACAGTTCATGAGTCACTTATTTGCCAGCCATTTCCATGCTTCATGAATATATTTAAAATAAAATAGCCTCTCTGCCCCCTCTTCCATAGCATCTCCTAGCAAAAGTGACATGTGAGCCTGCAGTGAAATGTTTTCTCTTCATATAAATGCACAGCTAAATTAAATTTTTCAGCTTCCTTTTATTTTATTTTAATTTTTTCTTTTTGTCTTCAACTGCCTCATAGCTTTAAGAAAATAAATTAAAAAAAAAAAGCATTTTGATCTTGCTTATGAGCAGCCAGCCCTGCTGGAGAACGTTCAGCAGGTAGAAGTGGTAGCACCATTGTATTTCCCCTTCGCACATCAGGTCATATACTTGTCAACTTTGGTGGCATATAAGCCCCCAGATAAATAACGTGTAAATCTGAGGCCACATTGTTATTCAGTTTAAGTCAGCACAGCAACTCTGGAGTCAAGAGTGTCGTGAATTATACTAGGTGAATGAAGCCCTAGCTCATCTTTTGGTAGAGTTTAAGCTTTCAAGACTGTAGCTCCTGTCTGAACTCACATACGTGTAAAGCACATCAGCTGTCTTGTAACTTACCATCCTGCTGCTCCTTGGAGAACTCGATCTGTTGGAAGGAAATCAATCACAAAAAATAGCTTAGGAAGGGGGGGCTGGGGGAGAACCTGCTTGTTTTCTAAAGCATCCAGCTCAATCCATGAGTATCTTCCAAGACAGCAAAGAAATGTGGCCTGACAGATGCACAGAAGTGATGCAGATGGCAAAAGAGCTCTTAAGACCAGTGAACGTTTAGCTTTTCGGTAGCCATTATGTTCCCCCCTCCTGCTCCCTGTTAGTTTAGTTTTTGTTTCACTTACCATTGATTTGGTCAGGTGTGAAGGACTGCAGTGGGGAAGAGAAAGAAAAAAAAGAAGTAGTACTGCTGAAAATGCACTGAGAGAAAGCAAATAGCTCAAGGTAGCTGAGTGTTCTCCTATCTGTCTTGCCTCATGTAATTCTGCCACAGAAACCCAAACTAGCAACCTGCCATGTGAAAATGCATCCCCAGGCCTGGTTTTAGGATTCTTGTAAAAACCTGCATCCCTGGGAACACCAAAGTTTTGGCCAGAAGCAATAACAATCTAAAGTTTCTTAACTAACAAACAGGCTGTTTATGTACCACTAGGTCACTTATTACTTCAGGCTCACTTAAGTACAACCTTTTGAAGTAATATTTATAACTAGCAGCTTTTTTTTTTTTCTTTTTTACATTAACATAGAAAATAAATCACACCTTTCAAGCTTGTGTTTAAATTAGCTTTTGACAGAACATTGTTTCATAAAGCATTAAACTACGATACATTCTTGTATTAAAAATACTGCGGAGGAAAATCAAGCAAACCTCAACTGCCGTCTTCCGCCCTGTCCTCCCCCCAGAACCAACATGAACAAGAAGCTGAATTTACTCCTGTAAAATACGCTGGCTCGCTGCTAATAATTAGCTTTGCAGTGGACCCACCATGATTGAGAGATGGACAAGGAGAGCGGCGGACGGGCCGGAGGGATTAGCTGAGAGGTCTCTGAGAGTGGTCCTGCTTTCCTGGCCTTTCTTCCCCTTATTTATCTGGCAGCGCTGACGGCATTGCCAGGATTAGGTGTCAGAAGGAAGCTGCCCCTCCCCTCGGTGAGTTCTTTAGCTTTCTTAGGGCAAAGTGACAGGAGGCACCGTGCCTTGATGGACATCTTACGACTATTTTTAGGAGGTTGGAGAGGGGCAGGGAGTAGCAAGCAGCAAGTTTGGATCGTGTCAGCATTTTCTGGGTCTGGACCATCAAGAGTGGATATTCCTTGTCCAGGCCTACCAAGATAGGAAAGGCTCCTATTTCTCCAGTAAGCTATGAAATCAGCAATCGAGGAGCGCTGAGGGCAAGAGGTGCCACGCGTTTGCCCAGCTGGCTTGTTTTACACGTGGCTTGCAAGTTGTGTGTTAGGTGCAGCTGGATAGCATGCTTTGGGTTTGTTTCAAAGCCCATGAAATCACTAGTACTGCTTGTTCCTTTGCTGGCTTTTCTCAAGCCCTTATTTGGATGATGCAGAGATCTGCCTTAGATGAGTGGTGCTGCTTGTCTTTTTGGTGCAATCTAGGTGTTGGCGCTGGGAAGAAGGTTCACCTGCTTGTTGAGGTGGTGTCCAATCCAAGATCTTGCACTGCGCTGCTTGTGTTTTCCAAATTTTCAAGGGTTCTAAGGGCCAATTTATGCACACGTCTGGACCCAACTATATTACTAGGTTTGCAGCTGATGAGGGGGTGTACTATGCAGGGCAGTGAGGAATTTAGGGCACCTTCCTTTTAGGGCTTGACTTATGACCCTAGCATGCCAACTTCAGAGCTTACTGGTGTGATGAGAGGAGGAGTTGCTGAAGTTGAGAAATGGAAGGGTTTTTGTGGTGCAGGTATGTGGAAGAAGCTGTGATTGAAGCAAGGACGCCTGTCAAGCTTTGCGTGCTGGAAGGGGGACTAAATTGGTCATGGAGGGGAAAGACAGCAGTGGCTTTTGGGCTGCAGGGTGGTCCTGGTGGGATTACAAGTGAGAGTTTAAGGATAAGCTGGAGAAGAGAGGTTGTACAGTTTCTCCAGTAGCAAAGGCCTATTCCTATAACACAGCACTTTCCAAGCCTGGCTCACATCTCTGAACTGATGCAATGAAAAGTAAAAGAATGAGGGAAAACTGCTCCAAACTTTGCTTCCTTTCTGTCACTCCAACTGGATAAGGAGATTCATGGAGCCGGGATGGGAAGATTGTACTACAGCAAGAGACTCCATTCATACAAACCACTCCTCTTAACATCCATTCTCCTTTGCTGTGCATTTGCCACTCCTTTCTTTCAAATGATAAAATGCGATGGGTGAGGAACTTTCTCCTGTTGCTCACTTAGTTAACCTGGAGATAAGCTTAACTGTTTCAGCTTTTTTCAGTATGAAAAGGAAATGATCAAATCCAACCAGACTTAATATTTTTTTAAAGATTGAACAATCAAGATAGGTCAAAATAATTAGTGCTACTTGAAACTTTAACTACTTCCCCTCTTAAAATCTAAAGGTACAACTGCAAAGAATTTTCTGAGCTACACATTTTTGTTTGAAGATGTTTTGTCCAAATGGGTTATTTGCATTTTGGGGGAATTCCTTGGAAAACATACAGAGCCCGAAAAATAACTCTGCTGCCAGTTCTTCTTTTGCTTGTCCTGCTACTTGTGATCTGTTATCATGTGGGAATGGAGACGTAGTCAGGGCAGGGCACAGCCGTGGGGTTACACAGAAAAGGGATTTGATGTTTTTGTCTCATTTAGCCCGCACTGATTTAGCACAGTTCAGATCTCCTAATTAAAACCGGCTGGGGCACGAGCACGGGCAGTGAGAAAGCTAATATAGACCTTGGCCATCAGTCCCAATGCATTAATAGAGGAGCTCTCCAAAGACTTTGGCAGAGCTGAAATGTTGCCTGGGTCAAAGTAGTGTGTTGCCTTTTGTGGAATTTTCCTCCTGCCCTCAGCCTCTTGCTCTGCAGTGCTGGAGGCTGGAAAATTTTTCCCTGGAAACACAATTGAATTTTTGCTCAAGGAAAATTTTCCTGAATATCTTCTAGATTCCAGATCCAGCCTATTACTAAATACTACAACAAAACCCATTCCAAAAGGTTTTAAATGCCAACAAGAAAATGATTGGGGTGCGTTTGTCTTGAGCAGAGAAAACTGATACCTGGATTAGCCAGTCACCTGGCTTCAGTGGGCTATCAAGTAAGTATAAATTGAGAGGGTTATCCATGTAAGCAGGCACTACAGCACTCTTGACTGTATGAGACTTTGACTCAGGTTTTACAGGAGGAGATACTTGTGCACCGTATCAACCCTTTGTTTTGTCACTGATTCTTGAATAAAAGTGCCCTAGATATTGTTTCACTGGAGAGAAGTTATCTATCATGGGCACACTTCAATTAAGAAGCTCTAAGCCTACAGGGTTTGTTGGGGGCTTTAAAATGCTTCTTGTTTTACATGTGATGAGTCTCAGGGCCTTAGGAAGAAGGTGAAATTTCAGGGAGTTTAGTGTGGTGTGGGTGTTTTTAAATAAAATGTAACTTTTAGATAGAACTGACACAAATGCCATCCCCAAACCTCCAGCAAAAATAATGATGAAGGAGTGAAGGAACTGCAATATATGGAAAGACCAGTAGGAGCTGTATTTGTCAAACATGGCTCCACCCTTACTTACAGATGAGGTTATCATCCAGGAGGAGGACAGCTATAGCAAGGAAAAGTGCTGTTTTTTTCTGACTTATTTTGTATCATTTTATTTTTGGTTGAGGCATTTGACTATGTAGTTTGTGACCATCTTCTATTCTTCTAATTGCTAATGGAACATGTTCTGACCAGATCCTAGTTATCCAGAGAAGGGTGGACAGGGGCTCTTCATCACCAGATAAGCAGAAGACCCAATCCACACAAACTTGTGTGCTGTGCCCACCTATTTGGACTGGAGGGCACTGCAAGTACAGCTGTGCTGAGGGATGGCCACTTTGTGCTCTTTGCAAGTACCTGGGCAAAGTGAAAGACACCAGGGAGAGGTGCTTGGAGTTAAACCAGCTTGGAGTTAAAGCTGCTCCATCTGCTTGCTGCTCTTTGGCTGAGTTACAGAGAAGAGAATTGTAGCTAGGTTTGGATTAGGGAGCCACCAGGTAATTCATGGTAATGATTCTGTAGGAGTGATTGAGAACTTTTCAGATGTCTCTAAAAATCAGAGAGGGAAAGATCAGGCAGTCCCTAAGGATTTTTGGTACATATTTAGCTGTTCATCCAGACCTCAAGGGATTTCTTTTATTTCTGGGTGGATGTAGCTGGGGTTGAGCCCGTAGCAGTTCACGTGTCTGCTCACTGCTAATGCCTCCTCCTTGGTTAATACAGCTGCACATGTTTTCTAACAGACATGATCGAGTGCACGATTACACAGCTCTCCAACCCATCCATAAAGCAGGCTGCTGACCCTCACTCTGGTTCAGTAGCTGGTGTGATGGATGCTGTGGATTTCAGAGGCTATTTTTCATTTAAGTAAAAATCAGCAGCCTGATGGATTTAGCCTCATGTCCTTTATAAGACAGAGAAACACCATGAGGGGGTGAGCGTTGAGAAAGAGCTCTTTTTTGAGAATGAAACTGCCAAGGAATATAATAGGAGAAAGAATAAGGATGAACACTGCTAATGTATGGAAGAGAAATATAAGATGCCGTGAGGTTTGGAAGAACAGCTCTACATCTTTTAGCTAAATGGGTTTTACAGTGATAATTTTTTTCCCCTCTAAGCACTCTTTGTAGCTTTGTGCCTTGCTTACATGAAAGTTTGTGACTTTACAGTTAGGCAAAAACTTTTAGATAAACCTTAGCAATTAATTAAATGTGCCCTTTTGAAATGCCTGAGTGTGAAACGCATCGCAGCTGCTGATCATAGCATTTTGCACAGGCTTTATTGGCTTCACAGTGGGAAGGACAGTCGGCTGTGCTCGCTTGTTAGTGTGTCTCTTTTCTAATTGCATTTAGTTGTGCGTGAATGTGTGTAATCGAGGGGATGTGCGAGGAA